AAGATATGCGCAAGTGACCTTCACAAACCAATGTGGTTGCCTTAAATGGACCATAATTCCAAGCAGATAATTTTCTCTTCCAAAACCATGGAAGATGTTGTTATTGTGTTAACGTCTCCTGCCCTTCATTGTAACTTCTGTTGACCTCTGCATAGATATCCCTTACCTCTAGTGTTTCATGCCATATTCATTAGAGGTCAGTCCCCCCCCCCCCCCAAATGATATCAAGGAATAGCACTGTAACTTTAATAAGAACAAAACATTTTGTATTCTTTAATAAAAACAGTCAAGTGTTAGAGGCATGGAGTAACCTTTCCATTTTTAAAGAAGCCATCGAAGACTACTCCAAAGAACGTCGTCTCACCAGTGTCATTTTTTGAGTTTTGTATTCTTTAATAAAAACAGTCAAGTGTTAGAGGCATGGAGTAACCTTTCCATTTTTAAAGAAGCCATCGAAGACTACTCCAAAGAACGTCGTCTCACCAGTGTCATTTTTTGAGTTTTTTACAGAAAAAATGTAATTTTTTAAAGATAACCCATTTATAGTTGTCCAGGAGTGCTGTTTCTTTCCAGACATGAGTTATTGAATGCAGATCAGTAACACAGAGGAGGAATGTGAAATCTCTTAGGACGATAACTTATCGGTAAGAGGGATTAAAAGCCTTTCCTTTTATTGTAAGCGTCATACTTTACCGTGTGATCTGTCGTGAAAATTAGTGGAAACAGGTGTCTTGGAAACAGGCTTGTATTTGTTACCCGTGGCTTTTGTGGGGCCTTCTTGCTGTTCCCTAGATTTAAAATGTCCGGTGTGACTGCAAAGTCAGTTCTATGCCTGTCTCCTTGTTAAGGGAGGCAGGTGCTTAAAGCATCCTCTGGTTTCGACGTACCCTGAAAAGGAGAGGGGGGAAAATGCTTTTGCAGCGATTTGTTTGCTGGTATATCTTCATTTCCAGTTTCCCAAGCCCGAAACCTGCTCCCAGTCCTTGCTGATCTTGTCCGTGCTGCCCCTCGATTACTATCTTGCTGTGCCATTTCCCCCAGCCAGAGGCACATGTTCAAAAACAGTGTGGCAAAATGCACCAGGGTGAACTCTGGACGGCCGCTGATTATCGTTTCAGACTTAAGCATAGCTTTTTTGCCATCCTGGTTGTGTTTTCCCTGACACTAACGGAAAGTGTATCGGCAGGAAACGAGCCCTTTCTGTAATTTGGTAGTACGGTAGATGGGTGAAGCTGGGAAGGCGAAGATCCTGTGTGGACTGTCTTTTCCAGTTGGAGCCGAGCAGTTGCTCTCTTCTATCTTTTACCTGGCTGACATTGGGGGGGGGGGCTGCTGCCAAGTCTGCTTAGCATAGAGTAGGTAGAGTTTGTTTTGTGGATTTTGGACAAAGTAGCCCTAACCACTGAGGATCAATGCTCCCTCTAAGCTGTGGAGTCTTGTGACCAAAAATTCTACTTCGAGACTTACTGGCATTAAAGTTGTGAGCCAGCGATTTGGCTGGTGCAGTGATGGCGAACCTTTTAGAGACCGAGTGCCCAAACTGCGACCCAAAACCTACTTATTTATCGCAAAGTGCCAACACGGCAATTTAGCCTGAATACTGAGGTTTTACTTTAGAAAAAACAACTCATACATTAACTTGAAGATGATCCAAACAAAGTAAGGAAAGCAATCCCAAATGCTTTCATTTACTTAAAACTATTTGGCAGAGAATTCGACACTTTAATGATGGTCTGGGCCTGGCTGAGGCGATGGCACACGTGCCCACAGAGAGGGCTCTGAGTGCCGCCTCTGGCACCCGTGCCATAGGTTCGCCATCACTGGGTTAGTGCATAAATTAGTTTGCTCTGGGGCCATCTTTCCTGGGCTAAGACAAAAATGTGTGAGCCGGAGGCTAAAAACCTGTGAGCTGGCTCACACTCACTCAGCTTAGAGGGAACACTGCTGAGGATGTGAATTGAGGTGCTGACTGGAAATCTCTTTGGCACTTCCCAGCTACACCAGTGAGTCAATCAATCGACCTTTATGGGCATAACATACAGACCATAAGACTCAATTTGCAAGGAATACGGAATGCTTTCTTGAAGCTGAGCTACATGAGTCAAAAGAGAAGGAAGTTGCTCGCCGGTTTGCTTTAAACGATGCTATAAAATAAGATCAATCTTTCACCCATCACTTGGTGCTGATATTATGCCTTCACACAGCGGAAGGAATATTTTAATATAGGAAGTGTTTAAATCTTTTGTTCATGATCCCGTTGAGCTGGAACCTGGAAATCCTCCGTGGCTATATTTTGAGGAGGAAAAACCTTACCTGCCTTAGTACTGATATATATCGTTACGATCCCACTCATCCCTTTTGTACACTGCAGTCCTTCCCACAAATTATACCCAGGGCTATTTTTGGGCAGGAGGAGGAAAACCCTTACCTGTCTTAGTATTGATGTCTATCGTTCCCTTCCCACAAATTATACCTATATTGCCTTCATGGCACATATGAGATAATTCCATTCTCTTCCCCAACAGTTGAGGGATTGGTGACTTCCGGCTTCAGACAGGGAACAGAAACTCAATTTATCAGCTTCCCTTTTTCAAAGGCTGTTTTAAAAGGAGCGATCGTCAAACTGCTGTCTAGCCTGACCGGTCCGTCACTTTCCTTGGTTTTCTAGTACTTGCAGTTTGACTGTCAGGGTGTGGCCTACTATGCTAATGAGTTTCTGCTGTTGGGTGTGGCCTGTTATGCTAATGAGTTCCTGCTGGGCTTTTTCTACAAAAAAAGCCCTGATTATACCTATATGCCTTCATGGCACATATGAGATCATTCCATTCTCTTCCCTAACAGTTGAGGGGTTGGTGACTTCCGGCTTCCGACAGGGAACAGAAACTCAGTTTATCAGCTTCCTTTTTCAACGGCTGTTTTAAAAGGAGGGATCATCAAACTGCTGTCTAGCCTGACCAGTTCGTCACTTTCATTGGTTTTCTAGTACTTGCAGTTTGACTGACTCCCTGGACATCTTGAGTGGTCACCAGCTCAGATGAAATCTTGATTTGTGCCTCTGTTGTTGAGGCTGGGGAGGCAGGAATTTGGCAGGTCTGTCCCAAGGAAGGTCCTCCCTCCTTCACATGGGTATAGAGCAGTGTTCCCTCTAAGCTGAGTTAGTGTGTGCTGGCTCACAGCTTTTTAGCCTCCAGCTCACACATTTTTGTCTTAGCTCGGGAAGGAGGGCTCCAGAGCCAAACTAATTTATGCAGTAGCCAAATCGCTCGCTCACAACTTTAATGCCCGTAGCTCACAAAGTAGCATTTTTGCTCACAAGACTACACAGCTTAGAGGGACGGACGGAAATTTTTGGAAAGATTGAAAATGCTACATTAGCACTTATTTTTTCTTTTCCAGACTGAAAGTCATTCTGTTACGTTAGGAACATAAAATATGACCATGGACATTTTTACTTGGCATGAAATTATCACCACTAGCATATTAAAAATATAGCGTATCCAAACAATGATTACAAACAGAATACCCACCCACATGCAAAACCAAAACTGAAACCTTTTTCTTTTCTTGTGACAACAGCACCTCCTAAAGGAAGAAATGCATCTTGTTTTTGCATTGGAGAGTTCCGTTTGTAACCTAGGACTTGCTTGTCCTCAGTGCACAGAAATTAGATCCATCTGAGACCATACATATTTTTAGAAACGATTTGGAAAATATTTGAAC